CCATCCATTCAAAAAGGACAAATGGTGTATGCAAAGGGACCAAACAACAGATAAGAAGCTATTAAATTGATATACATATATTTGCATGAAAGGCGTTGGGTGTTGCCAATTGAAGGCCAGTGGATATCCATCCACATATAGTTGGATATGGCAATGTCTATTAAAAGTTAGCATGAGACTAAGTCCTCTAATTTCAAGACAAAAACTAGACCAACCAAGACCCACTCCAACTTTACTTCATTCTAACTTTCTACATACAAACTTCTACAAACCCATCTAATTCGAGCATACAATTAAATTTTACCGAGAAAGTTCATAGACTCGTAGATTGTACTGGTGAGAGCCCACGTTGATTGGAGAGGAGAACGAAACGTTCTTTATGAGGGCATGAAAACTTCTCCCTAACAAATGCGTTTTAAAATCTTAAGGGAAAGTCTAATAGAGAAAATCAAATGACAATATCTGGTGGGTTTGAGCTATTACAAATAGTATACACCAAGTGATGTGTTAGTGAGGAGGCTGAGCACTGAAGGGGGATGGACACATGGTGGTGTACCAACAAGGACATTGAGCCTCAAAAGGGGATGGAATGTTTGGAGAAGAAAAGCGAAACATTTTTTATAAAAACCTTAAGGAAAATCCAAAAAATAAAACCCAAAGGATAAAATATGGGCTTGAGCTATTACAATACCGAAGAATCTTGACGGAAAGTCGAAGGAAGACAATATATATTAGTGGTGGACTTTAGCTATTACAATATCGAACATTTTCAACGTCTAATAAACGCTGAACTATATCCATATCTCCTCGAAACTTCCCACCCGACATAAAAAGCTATTCTCATTAAAGACCATACATCAATTCATGGGAACCAAGAAGGCACCGGCCGCCGGTGAGAAGCAAACATCCGAAGAAAATGGGCAGTCAAATTGGGAGAAAGCTGTGATTTCACGGTCAATCTTTTCTTGAACGTAAATTTGACGACATGCCATGCGATGCCCTTTTCTTATCCATTAATCCAAATGGGCCTTGTGTTTTGGCAGTTGCTGGTGCAGGCCACAGCTGCCAATGCCTTTTAACAATTATTTATTTATTTATTTATTTATTTATTTGTAATGTTTATAAATGGGTTTCTTGTGCATTATTTATTTAACCTACGACGTGGTGGAAACGTGGGGTTTCAAGAATTTCTAGTAATTTAATCCATTATTCCAAGTAATTTGATTTGACCAATTGAGGAATTTGTACCACAATTTTATTGCTGCAAAACAGATTAAATTAAACAAAATACCTTTTATTAATATATATATATATATATATATTTTTTTTTTTTTTGGGTTGAATTTGAAACAAATAATAAATTAGAAATTACAAATTTAACCTCTATAATAGGTTCTTTTTGTGTGTTGGAGATGAAAGCAAGTACATGAAAAAATAACTGAAACCTAAATCCTAAACAATATCTTTAAAATAAATACTATTTTTTAGGATTTTATGAAACAATAAGAGCTAATTTAGTTCATATAGTGTTATAAACCTATTATTATTATTTAAAGTTAAATTGAAAAAAAAAAATTAAAAACAAAAAGTATTAAAATCAGCCGCCGGGATTATTGGATACAGTCAGTCCTCCGCATGGTCGTAACATACACCAGAATTACGACGACATGTCGTTTTAAATACGCTATTTAATTTTCCTGGAAAATTGAAGGAAGAAAAAGAGAGAAACAGAGCACGAGGTCGGCACATGGTGTTGATGGGAAGGAGGAGGAGGACGGCGCTATAAATTGAAGGAAGAAAAGTCGTCGGAGCCGAATCACCGATAATTCGGTTCTTTTTTTTTTTTTTTTCCATCGGCTCTGAATCGGTCATAATATTTAGATTCTGTGACTGTGAGAAAGTTGGCAAAATTTTTACGCGCTTTCGTCTCAGACCCATCTGAATTTGCTCCACTTCCATAGCTACAACAACATTCCTGTTTTTTCTAAACTAGATCTCTGTTTCCGGCCGGTGTGGATATGGGGATGGATGAACGGTGGGGATTTCGCCGGCAGAGGCTGCGATGGGCGGCGCTGGCGGCGGCGGCGGCAGCGGTGCTGTTGTTTTTTCAGAATGTGGGTCTCTGTTTTTCTCTGAATAATGAAGGTAAGAGATTCTGGGTGGGTATGGGAGTGGGTTTTGGTATGGACTCAAAAGTGGGTTTGTTTGGATGCAGGTTTGGCGTTGTTGAGGATTCGGGAAGCAATTGTGAGAGACCCTTATGGAGCTTTGTCGACCTGGAATGATAAGGATGAACATGTGGATCATTGTTCTTGGTTTGGTGTTGAGTGCTCTGATGGGAAAGTGGTGATACTGTGAGTGAATTCTTCCATGGTTTTGAGGTTTTGAAGGATTTGGCCATGAATGTTGAGCTTTTTTTTTTATTGAACTTGCAGGGATTTGAGAGATCTTTGTCTTGGAGGAACATTGGCACCGGAAATGGGCAAATTGCCACACATTAAATCCATGTAAGTAGCAGAAACAATGGTCTTTTTTTGAGCTTAATCTTCTTCCAAGCTCAATTTTTGGGTGTGTTCTTGTTTGTTGCAGCATTCTAAGGAACAACTCGTTCCATGGAGGTGTTCCTGAAGAGATTGGAGGGTTGCTTGAACTGGAGGTTTTGGATTTGGGATTCAATAATTTCTCTGGGCCATTTCCATTGGATCTTGGCATTAACTTGGCTCTAACAACCTTGTAAGGATTGAATCAATCACTGGCTGTCTTCTGTTCATTGGTTTCAATATCTTTCAGGCTATGCTGAGATTCTTTTATGGTTCTTGCAGGCTTCTCGATCATAATGAATTCATTGGCAGCATAACTCCTGAAGCCTATGAACTCAAGCTGCTATCTGATGTGGGTTACCGGAGGCAGCTGCTAGGAGTAGGAATTCAATCATTAGAGAATCAAGTTAACATCATGAATGGAAGGAGGCTGTTATCCCCGTCTCCGGGACCTTCCTTCATTTCGTTACCACCATCTTCATTTGATTCATCTCCATCTCCATCTCCATTGTTACCTTCAGATCCACCATTCCCTCCAGCACCTTCCCCGAGTTCCCCATCGGTATCTCCTGCAAAGTCTCCAGCCTCATGGAGGTCAGCACCTGCTCCTAGCCTCCGTTTGAGTCCTGCACGACCACCCGCGCCAGCTCCTGCAAGGACACCAGTTCATGTTCCTACACTGCCACACTCCCATTGGTTTCCTCCACACTCCTCAGCTCCATCTCCAAGTCTGATTAGGGGGAGTAATAGGAACAATAATCACAAAATTCAAATGTTGACAGGAATTATAGCTGGATCGTTGTTCTTTTTAATTATAACTGTCAGCATTTTGGTATTTCGAAGCAGTAAGGTTGTTACCGTGAAGCCTTGGGCCACAGGTTTGAGTGGACAGCTGCAGAAGGCATTTGTAACAGGTTTGCTTTCTTTCCTCAAAACAAAAAGAAACTGGAGAAGAGAAGAATACCTCAAGTCTTTAGCTCGATACTTACACGGGTCGTAATTTCAGGTGTCCCCAAGCTTAAACGATCCGAACTTGAAGCAGCTTGTGAAGACTTCAGTAATATAATTGACTCCTTTTCAGACATCACTGTCTATAAGGGAACTCTTTCCAGCGGGGTTGAAATAGCTGTGACATCAACTGCAGTGACATCAAATGCAGATTGGTCAAAAACTAAAGAGGAACAGTTCAGGCAAAAGGTACAAAGAAACAAAGCTTCTTCAATGTTCATCAGTATAGTTTTGAAAATTCCTGAACTTTCTTTTCTTCTTCATGTTTGCAGATTGAAACTTTATCAAGGGTGAACCACAAGAACTTCGTCAGCCTCATCGGGTTTTGTGAAGAAGCACAGCCATTCACAAGGATGATGGTTTTTGAATATGCTCCAAATGGAACACTCTTCGAGCATCTCCACAGTAAGTGTTTTTTTTTTTCTATAAACATGTTGAAGGTGCACTGTTCTTCCAAAGTTCATGATATCATCCTTCTTGCAGTAAAAGAAGCAGAGCACTTGGACTGGGAGATGCGATTACGAATAGCAATGGGTGTGGCATACTGCTTAGACCATATGCACCAGCTCAATCCGCCTGTCATACACAGACATCTTTGTTCTTCATCAGTTTACCTCACGGAAGACTATGCTGCCAAGTTGTCGGATTTTAGCTACTGGAATGAAGCAACAGCAGCAAAGTTAGGATCAGCAACGGTGGAGCACTTGGAAACTTCACCTACAGATTCAGAGAGCAACGTTTATAGCTTTGGGGTGATTTTGTTAGAAATGATTACAGGTAGAGTACCATTCTCGGTTGATAATGGCTCTCTTGCAGATTGGGCATCAGATTTTCTGAAGGGAGAACAGTCATTAAGAGATATAGTTGATCCGATTCTAAGCTCTTTCAAAGAAGAACAGCTTGAGAATTTGTCTCAAGTGATAAAAATGTGTGTCCAACCCGAGCTGGAGCGAAGACCGACAATGCCCGAAATTGCTGCAAGGTTGAAAGAAATCACAGCATTGGAACCTGATGCAGCAATGCCAAGGGAATCTCCACTATGGTGGGCCGAACTTGAAATCTTATCTACAGAGACAAGCTGAGTTTAAGTTGATCATCAAGTTCAATGTTAACATATGCTATCCTTTCTTTTAGGGTTTGAAAATTTTTTTGTGGCTTGTAGCAATTGGTTGCTTGGCTGTAAAATGTAAAATAGCAGCAGGGTTGAGTAGGGAAGATGCTGTTCTCCCCTGATACAAAGTGGTAACAAAAGAAACTTGTACATAGAAAAAGCTGCTAAGCCTATGTTGTAAAAGCTCCACAACATGAATGTGTATATGCATGTCTCTTCAAAGATAAGGATCATGCTTTTCTGTGTGTTTTGCATCATCGCTGTGTTACCTCATTTTCTTTAATATAATGCACCTCTAACAAAAGAAACTACAAGGTTGAAGGCTTCAAATGTTTGACCCAAGGAACAATCATCAAGCTCTTTCACATTGCACATGCCAAAGCAGAAGGGGAAGGGAATGGGAAGCGAATGGTTTGAAGATGTGAATAATGGAAGCTGAGTAGCGACAGAAACAGGACAGATAAACACATGGATATTCTATTGGAGGAATTTTCCTGCGTGTTGTATGGGAACCTTCATATAATAATACTATACACAACAAACAACAATTAGCCAGTACCATGCCTGCCTCAGCCAATCATGTGAATCTTTAGCAGAGAAAATTAAAGAAAATCATTTTGGGTAGACTTTATTGTTTGCAATTCAACTTAGATAGCCTTTTAGAGCTTCAGTCTGTTCGGTTTGATTTGAACTCATCTGTAATAGGGTGGGTTGATTTGATGAGTTCAGCCACATATATACTCAATTTTGACGTCAACTTTTTTGTTCTCCTCAACACAATGTATGGTTTTGGTGTTAGTTAAGGCCTAATCTATATATATTAACCCCACCGACACACTAAAAAAGGATGGGTTGGTTCCTTTTACTGACATTATAAGAAAAGACGTCTTGCATCAATCATATAGGCACAGAAATTATTGGCATTAAACAGAGTATTGTAATAATGGAATGGTGTAAAACCTGGATATCCAACGAAGGGACAGACCATGTGTTGTCTTCTGAAGGCCACATCCAAGGTGCTGTCAAACATAACATTCCGGAGTTCACGAGCAAGGCTTCACAACCTCTTTCTTTAAACAGCCGGCCCAATTCACTTGATCTTCTCCTTTTTCTATTTGGTTGTCTTATTCTGATTCTCATTTGACCCGATCCACCTACAAAAAGTAGACTGTTTTTTTCCTTTTTCAATCTAGCATTTGATTCACAGCGAAAACCAGATTCTTCACCCTTGAGACACTGAAGAAACGAGAGCCTGCACTAAGGATTTAAGAATATCTATTTTCCTTGTACAATTTATACAGAAATGGCTAGCTAGCACAATATCATAGAGATTAGCATCAGCCTCCTTACCTACAAGCTTCGTTTCCCAAAGCTATCTCTCTGCCTCAAGTCCTTGCTCAGCAGAAACATACATTAAGAGTCTTTCATGAACCACCCCATGAATTGAAGAGCTTACCCCTTCAAGAACCCAGTTGGATAACTGTACACCATCAGCTAAAATCTGTCTGATGCCACTCAACAAGTTCAATGTTGTCTTTTTCGAGTTCAGCCACTATCCCCTCTCTTGCACAACTTCGAGTTTGTGTAGAGCTTTTGCTAATTCATTAAACTCTTTAACCAAAACAGTCATGGCGATGAGGTAGCCGTATACCTCTGGGTTTAATCCAGATAGTCTACGATGCAGCAGCATTTTCTCTGCACCCCTAGTCACCATCAACCTAGGAGGATTGATTATCATCATTAGCAATTGAATTTTCACTTGAAGTTGTACTGAACAAGCATAGCAATTTGAAAGAACTTATTTAAGATCCCTGGGCAACCAATCCACTACCATTACAACATAAATAGCGACATTAAAAGCCAATTCAACAACTGAAAAATGACTTATGAAAGAGATCAGAACGAGGTATACTGTGACTAATGGGGGAATAAGCTCCAAAGAAGATGACAATAAACAAAAAAATTTCAGTGAATGAAACTAACAACAACAAGGTTCAAGTGAAAAAAAAACCCGAAGGAAGTTATTCATGGTTTTTCCAAATTCTTGTCTGCAGAAATAAACTTATATCCAACACTAACATAACAGTAGGTTCAAACATGCATACCCATATTAGAATGCAGCTTAACCATACATCATCCCAAGTGGACGCCCATCTAGCTCTATGTTAAAAACTTGCACAGTTCTTCCAGAACCCCTTCAATTGTGACTACACAAACACAACGCCAGAAAATATCCTTTATCACATTGAAGAAAGTCACCACAACAAAAATCTGGTCTCAATACAGTGATCATAATCAAAATCCAATAAGATCAAGATACTAACCACCTAAATGAGTAAACTAGAGGAGTAGATTAAAGAAGGTAGACTAAGCAATCTCAATGATCAGAAATTGAGGATTCAAAATATGACATCCAAAGCTAGTAAACAATGATTGAAGAGCTAAAGCCTCAAGAGCACACCATAAATCTCTCCCTTCCTGAGAGAAGCACACAAGCACGAGCTCTGATTCCCTCGCTGAAACACGGTCATTCATTTCTCCAAGAACCTCGAATGGTTGTTGAACACAACTCTGTAGATATTACGCTTGGGATCAAAAACTTGTAGATTTATTTCTAAAATGTCTAAATATTTATAGACATTGGCTCGTACAATTATATTGGGCTTGATCCTATGTCCTAGTGATGATTTTTTAACAATCGTTCTTCCAATTCCTTGATTGCCTAAAAGATCCATCTTCCATTTCGTCTTCATCTGTCACTCGTAAGGTCCAGCTCAACTGATCAGAACAACCTTAGGTCCCGAAACTTAGCGGCTATCAAAACAAAGTAGAATTCTGGTGGTTGCAAGTAATACGAGGAAGCATAAAGAAAAATGTTACCGGCGAACGATATATAATCATTTTGTACTTCTAATTCAAAGCACCAAATTCAAACTAAAATTTAAAATAACCTACGAACTTGAACGCCAAGGTTTCGCAACTCGTAAAGCGAGAAACAGAAGAATAATCGAGTCCGTCACCTAAAATTTCTCAAAAAGAAACCAGAACATTAAGGTTCCCACCGCATCAATTTGAGTGAAATTTGAGCTCGAATTACACTAGCAAATTAACAGAAAACCAAACGAAAGCAGGGCGGAACAGAGAGCCAGAAAGAAACCCCTTGAAGAAGCTGTGAATTGAATCTGAGTTGATGATCGGAAAAAACGAAACGCTAACGTTCTGGCGGAGGATTGAACGACGGTAATGGTGGAAGTCGGAGTGAGTGGTCGCAATGGCAGCGTTTTTGCCGCCAACAGCAACACAAAGCATTCGGAGTTTTATATCATAATTCTTAATGTAAAATGTATGTGGCGAAATTACGTGATTACCCCCGTAGTTAAATATTCTTAATATTATATTCCGGGTTTCTTTTTCTATAATTATTTACGCCAATTATTTGATTACGTAAAGTACAATTAAATAAAAAGATTAAAACATTTTATTAATCTTTGATTTTATTTTTAAAGTCAACCATCCTTTACGCAAAATACAATTAAATATTATTATAAGTGAGTTTGACCTGAGTTAAATTTTCAACGCATTAAATATTTAAATTACAAAAAAATATTTAAAAAGATATACAAATTAAATATATATAGATATGTAATTCTGTCGCAAATATTTGTATTAAATATAATACTTATAAAATGCAAACTAATTTCATAAAAATACACTATAATGGGCCAGGGGAGCGGCCCAACAACAGAACAAATGATCGCAGCTCGGCCCATAGAATAAATTAATGGGCCGCGAAGATTTGGGCTTATGTAAATTTATGAGCTTAAATGAAATTGGCAAAGGCCCAACCAAAATCATGGCCCGAATAGAATCTACGTCGGAAAATCGTGAAAGATGACTTCTTTGGTGGTGAAATGAAGTCGGTGGCACTTGACTTAGTTTTTTCGGAGATCAAAGCGGATCAACTTGCCTTCTTGTTATCCAAAAGTCAGTTAACTTGGGATGGGCCCAGTCCCCTACTGAATTGCACAAGTACCATCGAAAAAATTAATGGATACTTGAAACGAACTGTTCTCTTACGAGAACTATACTCGTTATTTATTGGTTATTTGGTTTAATATATCACTTTACAGTTATATATTTGTCTGATGGTGCATTAATTCTTTCCAGTGGTCCAGAAACGGAGAAGTTTGTTTCCAAAGAATGTGGTAGACACAGGATGAAGCGATGTAAAAACGAGTCTCAGAAATAGCACCCGAGTTCGAAATCGAGACAAACAGATGGAAGTTGGGTGTGTATGTTTGGATTTAGTTTTGGCAATGAACAATAATTAATCACCAAATTTGATGAGCAAATTTTAGAATGTAAACACTTGAAATCTCCTTCACATAACCCATAAATTGCAAAGACATGTTTCTATTTTAGGAAGAATAAGGGCTTGGCCTAACTCATCCATGGCTCATTTGAAAACCCTAATGTTCCAAAACTCCCTCCTACCCCTTTTGGCTTCCTTTAAACCCTAATAATTCCATACTCTTTAAGCCTTTTAAGCTCGAGGGGTTTTTTTTCATCGTTACGAAAGGAACAAAAAAAAAAGTGCATCGAGATGTGGATACTGATGTTTCGATCAACAAAAATAGTCATAATGTAAAGATGGATGTAACGACCCATACCCATGATTCAAAATTCGAATTTGGCACCTAATATCTCGACATTCCCCTGCGAAATGGTCACGTTTGCTTCTAAGAGAAAACTATCTCTACAAACCAACATGAGTTTTTCCAACATGTTTTGTCTTCACTCACATTCATCCTAAGAAAATTTCTAGGAGATCACTCAATATAGAATTGCTCCGAGCAAAACATGCTTAACTTTGGAGTTCCTATGATTGAGACTACCAAAAAAGAGAGTGCACCTTGTTGGTATATATAATAACTTTCAAATTCTTTTAAGCATTTTTTAACCGTTCTATCTTTAGGATCACTCTCTCGGATGTGGTATTGTTTATTCCTCTACCCATCCTTAGATATTACAATGGAAGAACATGATGAGTGACCTATGATTATAGAAGAAATGCTCGGAGTATAAGGTAAATTACATCAAAGCTATTTATATATCAATATTTAAAATCTAAAACGGTCGCCCTTCTCCAATTTTAGAATATAACTTTACGAATCTAATATAAATTAAAAAAGAGGTTTTTACGAATCTTATAACAAAAACCAACAAAGATGAACGTGTTTTTCTTCTTTCTTCATTCTACCATGATAACATCAGGCAATGATTGAATCGAGATCGAGACCACGTGTCGGGAAAGGGTTTAACCCTTTTCATTTATTCTTTCATACCTCTCTTGGGTCTACAAAGAGAGGTCTATTTGGTGGGCCATTTTTCCATTCCAAGAGACTATCCTCCTCACTCTTCAAGGCCTTAACACACCACAAATCTTCCGAACATGATAGCAATTTCCAATGAGGAATAGCCATCTTCAGCTCATCATCTTCCCCACCAATCTCTGTAACAATAGCCTTACAATCCTTCGCATTACTCAAAGCCAAATTATGAACATATTCACACAATACCCCAACCAATCTCTCAGAACAAGCCCCTTCATGATGCAACCCATAAACAAAATAAAACCCAAATGCCTTGAAATAATCAGGCACCAAAATCACCTTCAAACAAGGCAACATTTTCTCCATCATTCTTAAGCTCTTTGTATAAACCACCCATGGAAATGGAGCTTTTCCTAGCCTTAACTTGAAAACTTCCCCGCTGTTCCATAGACTCACCACAGCCCAGCTCGACCGTATGTCGGCCGCCGCCGACCACGGTGGCGGCTGTTTCTTGTAATGTGCTACCCATGTCCCTAAGCTCAAATTGTTCTTCAATATGCTGTTTATGTCTTTGGGGAAGAACTCCGTTGATGTCATGTGTTTTTTGTAAATTTCTTCTGCTTCTTCAATTTTCAGCTTTTGAATCTTGATTTCTGATTGGTTGATTTTGTATGGATAATTTGTTACTGGGTTCACCAGAATTCTTCCTGTTCTGAATTTTACGTACCTGTTTCAATTATGAGTGATTAGTTCATAATTAATTACTTTAAAAAAAACATGTTTAATTCAATACCTCATGTGATTAATGAAGAGATTAACAGAGGCATGATTATCTTTCTCAGTAGCCATGCAACAGTAATCAACGTCATTAGCTACAAACCAATCTTCCAAATCATGAACAAGGCTGGATCCAATCCCACGGCGGCGAAACGGCGGTGCAACTCTCAGCCCAAGAAGGTAGCCCACTTTCGCCGCCAAACCCGGCCGTTTATGAGTACTAGAAAACGCTGTCTTTATCGAGCCTTGAATGACTCCAACCACCTCGTTGTTCCACTCTGCCACCTAACTCGACTGATTAAGATATAAATTTCGAATAATTTAAAAAGAAATGAAGAGATTAAATTACCAGCATTTTGTATAAGGGACTGTGACGAATCCTACAAATGGGGTCACCCAATGTGTCAGTGAAGAGAAATACACGTTTCGATGGCCCAATTTCACATCGTTGTTCGAGATCAGCTACTTGAGCTCTATCTGATAATCGACTCTCTTCGTAGTTTCGTATAACGAAATCTTTCGATCCCATTAATTAAAAAATGGATCAAACTCTTAAATTAAGAGAAAAACAATAACGATACTCATAAGATAGAATGAATGATAATTATAAGAACCATCACGGGAAGTTATATAATAAGAGGGAAGAAAGGGGATTGTAAATGGTATCAACATCAGCCTAATTTTCAAAGTGATTAATGATAGAACGTGTTGGTTGTCTCTTATTTACCCTTTGTTAAATTTTTCTTTTACTTAATATAGGCAGACCATGTTAGGATAACCATTTTTGCCCTCACAAAAATTCTCCCTTTTTTCTTTATTAATTATCCAATTATTTTGCATATCATATATAAATATAGCTCGACATGTCTTTAGTGGAAATTACGCTCGCATCTGATACTCAAATCTTGTTCACCCCAGATGAACGTTTTGAGTAAATTGGAACCTCGTAAAATCATGTTGGGTTAGTAATAACTGCTTTGTTTTAGTACTGATTTGTAAGCTAACGGGTCACAGTTTGAGTAGGTAATCCTACAAAGAGAATCTCGAATACTTGCTTTTATTATCAATAGAAAACGAGCGTAAAATTAGAAATTTTTACCTTAAAAAACGCTATATATATAAAGGAAAAAAACATATTGATGACAAGAAAATTACCTTGGATCAAATGAAATTATTGAAGTTTTTTGGGTTTTTTTTTTTTTTTTTACTTTCCATTTAATTAATTCATATTGGTTAATTTTGGGTGGTCCATTGCTTCCATAATTTCTTAGCTTTTAAAAACATAAATAAATATATAAAATAAATGAAACTTATTATTATTATTTCCATTATTTGTGGAACTATTTTTTTTTTCTTTATTGTACTTAGTTGCAAAATGATGTCAAGGGGGGCCCTCCACCACACCATGCCCCTGGCAAGCGTGTGTAGTGAATGATAAGAAAGCCAATAGGGCACTAACAACTTTAGGTTAAATCAAATTTAATAAAGTTTTATATACTTTTTTAATAATTATAGTCCAAAAATTTAAGTTTTATTTTAATTTTTAAATTATAAAATTTTAATATTAATTAAAAAAAAATTAGATTTATTTAAAAATTTATAGATTAAAAAATAATTTTCTTTGAACAAAATAAATTTAAAAGAACGTCGGAGGGGCTCCCCCACTCCGGTATGCTCATGCTAATTATCGATGTCTATACTTATTTATATATAGTACAACTAGCTAGTTTTGAATAGTTACCCACAAAAATACAAATTTTATAACGACTGTTTCTAAAACGAACACATCGATTTGAATCTAACATAGGACCCATTAAAAAAATATTAATTTTTTTAAAATAAAAGATTCCATAAAAGAATTGTCATGGAATATGATAGAAAATCACCGTAAAAAATCAAACAATGAGTAGAGGGCAAGGGACGAAGGATACAGGGCAAGGGATGAAGATTTTGGGTTTAGGGTAGCCCTAAACCCTAAATTTCATGCTGGTCTGTCTTAGAGACATATCTAATTATGACTCGAACTAGCAACTTTTAACTGGAGTTATTAGCGTCTTAATCACTGGAGCTATGTTTGGATGAATAGAGCGTACAAGGAAGTGGAGCGAAAAAGAGGAAGGAAGGTACGACGTGTGGGGCGATTGGTTAGGTTAGAGGGGAATGATTGTGTGTGTGTGTGTGTGTGTGGGAGGGGGTGGGGAAGGTAGTTTTATTAGGCATAAAAGTGTGAGAAAGGGCAGGCTGGCATTTTTTATCCAATGTTTCCCATGATTCAATGTGGACCACACCCTCCTCCCCCTCCCTTTCCTAATTATTCATGCATTTCTTATTTTAACCCTTTCACTCCTTTTTTATATTTTATTATCATTTTTATTTCTTTTTCTAAATATAACTTTTTTATAAAATGTTTCCAAAATTATCATACTTTTACCCCCCAATAACTTCATTAATTGCCAACTCATTCAATAAACTTTATAAATATTATTCAAATAAATCACATTCTTATTTTTTATATTTATATATACCTTTATATTCTATTTTATTTTTAAATAATTCCAAATTTCATTATTTCTGAGGTCGCCGAAATTTAATTAGGAAGATAAAACTTTAAAATAATTTTTTTTTTAAAAAAATTATGTCGGAATATATTAATTATTTATTACTAATTTATATGTTTTAAATGACTAATATACCAATCAATTAAATGAGAGGTTTGCGATTGTGTGGCACTCACTTCTCAACAACAAGTGAGTTAAGCCTATTCGTTCTTGCGTCGCCTATGGCCAAGCGACGTATGCTTCAAGAAGAAAGTTTTAGAAAACGGGGGCATAGAGATTTCGAAAGAGAGTTTTGAAAGCAAGAGTTGAGAAATTGAAATTTGTGTTATATGAGAATGTAAGCAAAAGGCGGCAACAACAACAGCTTACTGTATGTAACTGTCAAGGTAGAGAGGCTCATTTTACTTTCTATTTTATCTCATCATAAACCCAACGAATTTGGACTATCCATTCCAACTTAATATTTTGTTGGGTTAGGATAGATTTTATTTTTCCCGGTTTGAATTGGATTGAATTATTGAAAAATTGAAAATTTGGTCGTAGTTGGGGTAATTGTGAACTCTTTCTAGATTGTTCGGGTCACCAACATAACCACCCTGGCTAATTTGTGTATACCGCTAATACCTAATTAATTAGCACTAGAAACATCACAACCCACTTTGATACCCATGGGCTTGGGCCTATGTTATTGCGACTCTATCCAGCCCACCAAGCCCACATTTCACACCAATCCGTGGCAAAGCCCATATGATGTGGGACTGGAAAGCCCAAAAACGTGGGCCAGCAGCAACAAACCCGGGCCCAATTGAAAAGAAATTGTCGTACCTATCCAGGTGGACATGTCCTCCTTTTTTATCCCCAAACTTAAAAAAGTTGCAATCGTAATGGCAACCGACCTACCGCTGGCTGTAATGTCTGCTTAGAGGTCCCTTTCTTAAACTCCACTGACACTCCGACGCTCCCCTTTCTGCAATTCACGAAATCGTTCCGCACCAGAGACCGCCATGAAAACATCCTCTTCAAAACCAATCCCAAGCAGCGACGAGTTCCGACAAGACATAGATTGGGAGCTCCGACCGGGCGGAATGATTGTTCAAAAACGACACATCGGGTCGGGTTCGGATCGTTTCATTACAATCAAAATCTCTCACGGTTCTTGCTATCATCTCCTCACCGTCGACGCCCATTCCACATTCGGTACGGTGGATCTATTGTATTTGGTTTTTAATTTGTTTGATTCGAAATCAATGGCTATTAGAGACTGACAGAGTTGATTGGTGGGTGTAATTGGAAGGGCATTTGAAGAGGCTTCTCCGGCAGAAGACAGGGTTGGAGCCGAGAGAACAGAGATTGTTGTTTAGAGGGAAGGAGAAGGAGAACGACGAGTGTTTGCACATGGCGGGTGTTAACGACATGTCGAAAGTGGTTTTGATGGAGGATCCGGCCAGTAAAGAGAGGAGGCTGGAAATTAATAAGAGGACTACGACCGCGGTCGGTCATGCTCTGGCGGAGATCACGGCGGAGGTCGACAAACTCTTCCAAAAGGTTCGAGCAGCTAATATCATATCACTATGGAAATTCGTGATTTCTAACCATCTGTACAGGATCTGTACAGGTTGCGGCGGTGGAAGGAGCGGTTATCGGCGGGAGAACGGTGGAGGAGAAAGAAGTAAATGGATTGATAGATATGTTGATGATGCAATTGTTGAAATTGGATGCAATTGAGATTGACGGAGATGCCAAATTACTGAGAACTCAGGTTAGTGTTTTTATAGAATATTAATAAATAAAATCTTTATTTTTAATATGTTACTAAAGTCTTAGTCTTAGTGAAATTTACATACAGTGTACGTTGGGTTCTAAAAGAGGTGGATTGTGAGATCTCACTCGATTGGAGAGTGGAATGAGTGTCAGCAAGGACGCTAAGGTTTCAAAGGGGGATTGTGAGATCCCACATGGGTTGAAAAGAGAAACAAACCATTTTTTATAAGGGTGTGGAAATCTCTCATAACAGTGTTTTAAAAAACTTTGAAAGGAAAAGTCGAAAGAGGACAACATGTATATAGTCGACTTGAACTGTATTACAAACAAGGTACACATTCATTTTCGATGGCTCAATCAAAACTAAAACATATTTTGGTTGAAACACGAACAGGTGGTTAGAGTACAGAATTACGTGGATAGACTCGACAACGTGAAGAATAGAAGAAACTCAAATGGGTTGAGAATTGAATGTGGATTTGGCACTCTCGTTCCTCCAATTACTTCTACAAAAATAACTCATGATTGGGAACTCTTTGATTAGCTGGACCTTACCCTTTCCCATTTCTGTACATATTGTTTTAATTTGGGCCGCCCACTTTCATTGGGCCCAATTGGGCCTCTCTATAATAAAGCCCACTAAGATTCCTCCTGATATATATATATATATAATATTATATTTATTTATTAATTATTTAATCAGTATTTGAGTTTGTGTTTAATTCTTAATATCTATACTTGGAAACTTTCCTCCAATATTACTTTACCCTCCTCCTCTTCTCTCTCTTCCCTATTTATATACTATTTTTTTAAAAAAATAATTCATAATTAATACACTTGCACCACCATAAATATTTCGTCTATTTTCAAAGATATTCAAAAGTCTGATTAACCCAACTCAACTTAATATATACGATCGAGTATAATCATGAATTTATTTACATTGAATTTAATTAAATTAAAATTTTATAGATTGAGTAATTTTAAAATATTTTTATTTAATTTCATAATTATTATTTTTATTATTTAAAGATATTTTAACTATTTCAAATGTGATTTTTTTTTTATATATATACTTAGGAATCTCGTTTGAAAATAATTAAATGAATATATTTTACAAAATTAATGTTTTACCTTTATTCAAAACAAAAATTTGAATAAATGTTTGAACGGTTATACAAACACAACTCTCCACAATAGTATAATATTGTCCAGTTTGGACTCTAAAAGAAAAAGGAGTCGAGCCTCGATTAAGGGGAGACTTACTTTGTTGGATAATGAAAGTCCCACGTTGGCTAATTTAGGAAATGATCATGGGTTTATAATCAAAGAATGTTCCATCCATTACCCTCCATTGGTATGAAGCCTTCTGGGGTGGGGAAGCCCCCATGAGAGCTTAACCCGAACCACCCAAAAGATTTATGGTTGGGTCTAAATATACCTAAAAACAGGTCTCAACTCGATCCACGAACACTCCTAGATCTCTGGAAGATTGATGATAATCGAGTGCGCGGAAAAAATAAATAATTATTTAATTTTAGTTTAACCCTATAGAAGCAAGGGCATGCTTTAGATGGTATGAACTTGAAGTCTATAGCAAATATTGCAACTCATAGGTGTACAAAAGAGATAGATAAACAATCACATTAATCAATTCTTTATAATTATAACACAAAAATTTCATTTCTTTTCATAATCACTTCATTTTCCTCCCCCATGGACACCTTCCATATGAGAATGGCTCAACCCGCCGGAATTCCGGCCATCCTCCGCCCTCTACCGCCCTTGCCACGCTCTCGCTTGGGAAAACCCACCCCCACCACCGCCGGAGACAAGCTACACCTCTTCCAATCAAATGGAAATGACAAAATCTTCCTCTCCGGAGGGGAACCTACGCCGCCGCCGCCGCCGCCACTCAATGAACACCGATTGCAACTTCCCGATTCTGACAAGGACGTCAACGTGGAAGCCCGGCGGCTGCGAAGGTTAATTTTTTTTTGTATTATTTACTCTATAGGTTAAAATGTTAATATTTACTTTTTTTTTTTTTTTTTTTTTT